GCTTGGTGACCAGTGTGAGATAAGTTTCAGAAGTATAGGTGCGATTATATAATTGCTTTGAGGAGTAGAAGGAAGATGAGCAAGTAGAGACAGTAAGCACTAACTGATATAGGAGTTAAAAAGAAATTATTTAGGCAGGTAGTGAGGGAAAAGAAGCCCTCAGTAAGGTTTTCCTTTTAATGAAAAGCAGCTCCAAAATCATTTTCTTTTCTAGCAAAGAGCAGACTGTAAAATCCAGCTGCAGACAGACAAGCAAGCTGGAAGCTTGCATGGGTGAATGCTGGCAGTTGTGTCAATAGGAAAAGGCTATCTGGGAGTAGGGACATTCAAACGGTGGCTCTGTCTTCCCTTTTCCTTTCCAACCGCCTGTGCAGTAGGGAGCAGACAACATGGCACCAGCCAAGTGGAAAGTCTATTTGCATAATAAGATTAGGGTAGGGCAGCCAGCTTCCTGGCATGTTATGTAAACATCACGCCTGGTCCAACCAATCTTTGGGTCCTATGTAAATCAGATACTGCCTCCTCAAGCCTGTCTATAAAATCTGGTGCACTCTGCAGCGGGCCAGAAGTCCCATTTGGGCACCCCTCTCTCGCGCAAGAGAGAGAACTGTTCTCCTCTTTCTTTGTTTGGCCCATTAAACCTCCACTCTTAAACCCACTTCTTGTTGTGTCTGTGCCCTCCATGCCCTTGGTGTGAGACAATGAACCTCGGGTATTTACCCCAGACAATGATGCCGCATCATAACTACTCTGTCAAACATTGTATGAAGGAGGAAGAAGGAAAACCGATGATGTCTGGAGTTAATCTCAAGAGAAGAGATTTTGTGGATTTTTTTTGTTGATATTAGAGCAGTGATGTCCAGTACAGTAGCCGCTTGTCCTGTGGCTACTGACCAGTTGAAATGTGGCTAGTTCCAAAATGAGAGGTGCTGTGAATTAAAATTTACACTAAAGTTTAAAGACTTAGAATTTAAAAAAAAAAAAAGAACATAAAATATCTCGAAAATTTTTTATATGGAATACAATGAAACATAATAATTGGATATATTAGGTTAAATACAACATTTTATTCCAATTGTTTTCACATATTTCTTTTTGACTTTTTAAAATGTGTCTGTTTGAAAATATAAAATGTATACCTGGCAAACATTACATTTCTACTGGAAAATGCTTAGCTGGAGCATGCTATAGGTGAATAAATAATAATAGCAATAATAATATCTATGGCAGGCAGAATTCTAAGATGGCCCTCAGGATTCACTTTTGTGGCATCTTTTCCTCTTTGATTCTGAGTGGGCCTCCTGAGCATGAAGGGTTATCACACCCTTGAATAGAATACTAACCAGGAGACTTTGAGCAAATCAGAATGGGGATTACTCTACATGGCTCTGACCTAATCAGGCATGTCTTTTAAAGGAAAGAATCAGACAGCTACTACATCATGGCCTCAAAGAATTAGTAGTAAATTACTATTGAGATGGGGGCAAACACTTGAAGGAATGGGTAAGAGCCCAGGCTGCTGGGAAGAAAAAAGTAATGTTTGAGGAAAGTACAGAAATGCTAGAAAGTGAGGGATCAAGGCACCAAAAACCCACTATGCCTACTTCATCATGACTATGTGGTGACACAAGCTGCTGTGGGAGTCATTCTAACATGTCTGCCTTTACAAGAGAGCAATATCATGCAGATTGCCACAGTTTATGATTGACTTTAAGATAAAATGTTACATCGAAAAGTTTGAAAAAAAGCCAGAAAAATAGCATGGTACCGTTGTTACTGAAACAGAAATCATGTTTGCAAACTGAAGAGACTATCTAGTCTTCCCTGGTATTATTTGAGTCGTGTGTGTGTGTGTGTGTGTATGTGTGTGTGTATGTGTGTGTGTTCATTTCATTTAAGTCTCTAAAAGTTGGCAGTAGATGAGCTGAAATAACTATCATTTTGAGAGATGTAAATGGTTATTTGCTGTCAATCTCAACTAAAAAAAATAATACTTCTAAAATATGTAGGTTTTTTTAGACTGTACAGCTAAGATGAAGTGAATTCTCATCAGTGACTACATTAAAATTAGATCACTAAAAACTTTCAGCCTTTTGCCTCAATGGCTATGCCACCGGAAAGAAAGGTCCACAATATCAAGACATGGAGTATTCCTTATGAACGTACCTGGAGGGAAATCCCATCCCCTATGCCTTCCTAGTAATTAAAACAATGGGTAATAAAGCTACTATCATAGAAAAAGAGTTAACAAGTTGAAACTACTATAAGAGTCAGATGAAAATGAATTACATCCTGGTTCAAGTTGGAGGAAGTAGGAATGCCATTACATAGCTAAACTCTGGGCAACTAGACTGATAAACAATCATCAGCAAACAGTAAAACTGCATTTGTATTCGTGTATACTGACCAGGGTAGGCATGTTGATAACTTGGAGGTAAACACGTGCCTAAGACAATTCAATATTAAAGCTCAGATACAGAAAATCACAGAAACTCAAGTCATTCTAAGAAAGTATCATTTTGCTCAGAAAAATAGTCAAAGAAAAGAGCAAGTCTTCTATATGTATCCAACCATCCTCTTAACTCACATAAATCCCACCAGAATACCCTAAGAAAGCAGAGTCCCTTAAAACCATTAAGTGAAGCCAAAAGCAACCTTCTACTATGTCTATAGGAGTTGACTATGACACTTCATTCTGGCCTCACTATGGAGTCACCTGATAGCTTTTCTGGCCCTTATTTTATCCCAATAATAATGTCCTATATCTGTATATCTTCTACTCTGATGACCAAGGACTGTCTTTATTGTTTTTCCAGGCTTGCCTGCAAGTATTAAACATGGTCCCCACTAGCTTCTGATCATTGGACTCAGTTGCGGGGCTCCACCTGTGTTATGATCTGAGTATTGGTGTCCTCCCAAAATTCATAAGCTAAACTCTAATCTGCAATGTGATGGTGTTAGGAGGTGGAGCCTGGGAGGTGATGAGGACATGTGGGCTCCTTTCTCATGATTGGGATTACTGACCTTATAAAGGAGGCCTTTGAGAGCTGCCTTGCCCCTTCCACCATGTGAGGACACAGCTAAGATATACAATCTATGGTACCAAGAAACAGGTCCTCATCAGATACCAAAGGTGTCAGCACCTGGATTTTAGACTGCCCACCCTCCAGAGCTATAAGAAACAAATTTCTATTGTTAATAAGTCACTCAGGCTACAGTATTTTGCTATAGCAACCCAAACGGGGTAAGACAACCTGAAAGGTCGCAGCCAGGTTGTCTGGGTCCACAGCTTGAACTCTGACGCTTCTGCTACAAATGTGGGCCACTACATAACTGAAATGCAGTCTAATCCCTGTATTAAAAATTTGGGGGAACAGAGCAAATACTACCTTACAAATTAACAACAATATAACAAGTGTTTGAAAGGCAGGTGTCACATTTTAAAGGACAACAGTTGATTGACCGTGTTATTTGAAAGTCTTCATAATGATCAGACACATTCTTCAATCACCCTTCTTTTAGTTCATGTTATTAGGTAAATTGAGAGGTTATAAAGAGTCCTGAGGCTTTGCTCCAAAGGGTAAGATTCATAAATACGAATATGTGCCTTTGTCATATGAAGAGGATCAGGCTCTTTTCGTAAACATAATATAGTCATAAGCTGAAAACTCACTTAACTGTTATTTTCTACAAAAGGAAATTTAAGCAAACATGGAGTTTTCTTGAATCCCATTCAGAGGGTTTTTACTAACAGCAAAGCATAAGATCCTGTGATAAGGCAGCTTAACTTCTGAAAAGGGTTCACTGCACAAAAATCTAGAAGGATCTAATGAGCTATGAATGAAGAGGTCTGAAAAAACTAAAGCTGTACACACACACACACACATACATATACAATACCAAATGTAAATATGTATAACTACATATGTAAGTATATATATATATATACTCTTTCAAAATACAGCAAGAAAATATTTACCTTTGATAAAAATCATGAAATTAGTAAAACTCTGCTATCTAAAATAAAAATAGAGATCCTAAAATATAATCCACTAGAATTTGCTGGTGTTCTAACTACTTTCCACTGAAAATCTTTAGTATTCTATGGGAATAAAATAAAATTTTGGTGTGGCCATGGCATCAATGGGCTTCTAAAGGTGCCTAATTTTTAAAATTAAGAAAAACTTAACGGAACCAAAGAAATGTAGGAATACTTTTAACTCACTACTAAAACCATAAAATGTATATGTATGGCTGCATATATAAGTGAATTTATTAAATCTAAATAATCATTTAATTGCCAACTCTTATGACAATAACAGTTATTTAAAAGGTTTTACTTGAAATGTATCATTTTTAAGCCTTCACACCTAGCAGAAGAAGGAGGCATAATCATGTCTTTCTGTTTTGGAGATGAGCAAACCAAGACACATGGAGGTTAAATTATTTATCTGATTTATTATGATTTATGTCATAGATGGCAGAGCAAAACCATAACCTAAGTCCTCAGATTACAGAGATGTTGCTTTCATTTAAAAAAAAAAAAAATCCCTAGGCATCGTGCTAGGCTCTGAAAAGATTCTAAGAAGAATTTGGTCCAGCTACCATCTTTAAGAAGTTTAGAGACATCAAAAACTCACAGAGGCAATGGGTATGTTAATTAATTAGAAAGATGCAAAACAGTATGTTTCCAAAGAAAAGAATGAAGAAGCTACCAGTAGGTGCACATTTAAACTGGATAACAGAAACCATGTAGAAATGTTGGAGACAAACAGCTATGAGGAGTTCTATAGCTCTTTCTACTCCATGTTATCAGTCTACCCAAGAATCTGTATAATATGCAAAATCAAGTTCCTTTCCAATCTCATGCCCTTAGAACTACTCAGCCTCTTGCAGAATTAGAATGAGGATGTTATACATGGGTTATTGGCACGAGTAATGAATGCTTCTGCTTTAATATTGGTTAGGAGTTTCAATTATAATCAAGTAAATGAACTTACTTCGGGAGAGATTCTCAAGGGCTTTCCCCAGCTTCTTGCTCTCTTGAAGGATGTGATTCAATTCATCAAAATCACGGCTTTGTGGTTTAGTCCTCCAGTTCCACTTTGGATGCTCTACTGACCTTGGCACTATGTTTAAAAAAAATGGTAATTTCATAAGCATGCTACATAATGACACAAACTGACCATTCACCATTATGTGAAAGATTGTACCAAGATCAATGTATAGAATAAAAAAATGTTTGTCTTGAAGATGGTTTTCTTGTGAGAAAACAGAGGGGAAGATATGAAGCCAGGTTTAAAGAAAATACTTTAACTGAAAAAGTAAAGGGAAGTGTGGTGGAGTTTATAGAGAAAAGAAAAGTCAGGTATTGACTTAAAACTAATCATTTCTGTAACACAGAGAGAAACGCACAGGCAAAATGTACTTTGTATTAAAAAAACACTAATTCCCTCAACAGCAACTGGCAATTATTTAGTAAATATTTTTAGGACATTCATAGAAGGCTAAATATATGTATTTATCTTCATGTCCCCCTCAAATTCCCACTAAAATGACACCACAGTGAAGGGATTTCTTTCCTCAAAGAATAAGTTGAACAAGCTGAGAAGACATTATTAGGCAAGAAGTAGCAATATATTTTGAGAGAAGATGCAAAATGGATGGATGAGTGGTAACTGGATTTCACAAGGCAAAGAAAACTGAAACCTAAGTCCCTGAACAGAGGGTGCTAAGAAAGTCAATATCTCACACTATTTAAATATTAAAGCTTCAATCCAGGAGGACAATGTCAAAGTAATAATAATATAAGAACTTAATTGCTTTTCAGATTTAAAGGGCCCATTAAATGTCCAGCACAAGTCAAGGCATACTTAAAAACATGTTTTAATAGTGCAATAAAGAAAACAATGTAAAACTTTTCAGGAGCAAAAATAGTAAATCAAATTAATACCAGACTTCTCAAAGGTAACACTTGGCCTAAGAAGACAAAGAAGCAATTCCTTCCAAATTCCAACTATAGAGTACTTCTTAGAACTGTATACCCAACTAAGGAACTAATTAGGATACTTTGAAGAACTGAAAAAGTTATCTTGCAAAAGCATTCTTTTACAGAAAGCTCCTACTGGAGGTACTCTACCAAAATAACCAAGTAAATCAAAAACTGGCAAGACTTGGATTTCAGGAAACAGGTGACCTCCCACTCTCCCAATACGGAAAAGGAACAGGGAATTCTCAGGAAGATAGTGAAAGACAATCTAAAAGGCAATTGAGAAGAAGTCTAGAAACCAATGAGTCAAACATGGAGCAATAAGACAGAGGGCTACAGGAGAGAAGTCTCTAAAAATTTTTAAAATAAAGGATAACTATAAAATAGAAGTTAATTTTACTTGTTTCTGATCATATTGAGAAGGTTTAACTCTTTGGGTAGAGTTTGGCAAAACATTAGAGATGGGTACATAGTAAATAAAGCAAGCAGAAAAGCAAGAGAACTATCAATTCTAGAACAGATGGACATCTAAGGCTCAACCATGAACAATATTAATTAATTAGTCATAAGAATACCAATGTAGAGTACATATTTAATCAACATTTGAAATAACTGCATTTCTATGCAGCCAGGATGAGATGGAGGCTAGAGTTTGGAGCACAAGGTATGAAGGATGTCAAGAGATAATGCCTCAAATTTAAAAAGGAAGAGAACTTTATGTTTGATTGTGTAGATTTAGGGACCAGAAGCAACATCTAAAAGAGGTGAAAGTGATTGCAGGTTAGGAGTCAAGTTGGGTAGAAAAAAGGAAACTACTCTCTCAGTACTACTTTTTTTAAACCATGTACCATTATGTTTTGATAAAAATAAAATAAATTTTAAAAATATTTATATGGTAAGGACATAGGAAATAGTCTCCACCTAACGAAATATATCATTCTGTCACCTTTTTAAAAAGTAATCTGGCAATATCTATTATGATGAAAAATGCACCGACCCTGTAACCCAGCAATCTTATGTCTGGCAAAGTCATCATAAAGAAATGAAAGCACCTGTATTTAAATACATATGTACAAGGTTGCACATTTTCACAGAAAGTGCAAGACTTTGTTTATTTTAGCAAATATTTTGTGACCACAAAACCCTGTTAGTAATTTAAATGTCCTTCAACAAAGGAATGGTTGAATAAACTATCTCACATTCACATTGTATGCAATTATTTAAAAGGGCAAGTTAAATCTAAGTATATTACCATAAAGATATTTCCACAGTGCATTTTATTTTTATTTTTATTTGTACAAATGTATAAGGTATACATGAAATTTTGTTACATGTATATAACATGTAGTAATCAAGTCACTGTATGGCTTAACTGTGAACAATGTTAATTAATTAACTATAATAATATCAACATAGAGTACATATTTAACCAACACTTAGGGTGTGCATCGACAGAGTACAGTACACTTGTGTTAACTATAGTCACCCTACTGTTCTATCAAACATTGAATTTATTCCTTCTATCTTACCATATGCTTATACTACCCTTTAGCCCACTTCTTTCATTCTCCCCCATGTCCCAATCACCCTTCCCAGTCTCTGTTATCTATCTTTCATTGCCTTACCTGCAAGGGATCAGCTTTATTAGCTCCCACATATAAGTTAGGGTATGCAATATTAGTCTTTTTGTGCCTGGATTATTTCACTTAAGATAATAACCTCCAGTTTCACCAATGACATGATTTCATTCTTTTTTTTAATGACCAAGTAGTATTTCATTGTGTATACGCACCACATTTTCTTTATCCATATATCCACTGATGGACACTTAGGTTGATTCCACATTTTTTCTATCATGAATAGTGCTTTAATAGACATGTGAGAGACAGTATCTTTTGGACATATTGTTTGCTTTTCCTCTGGTAGATACCCAGTAGGGGGATTGCTGGATTGAAGGGTGGTTCTTTTTAAGTTTTTTGAGGAATCTCCATACAGTTCTCCATAGTTGCTGTACTAGTTTACCTTCCCACTAACAGTGTGTAAGAGTTCACTTTTCAGCCAGGCATGGTGGCTCACGCCTATAATCCTAGCCCTTTGGGAGAACAAGGAGGGTGGACCACGGGGTCAGGAGTTTGAGACCAGCCTGTCCAATATGGAGAAACCCCATCTCTACCAAAAAAAAAATACAAAAATTAGCTGGGCATGGTGGCGGGCGCCTGTAGTCCCAGTACTTGGGAGGCTGAGGCAAGAGAATAGCTTCAACCTGGGAGGCAGAGGTTGCAGTGAGCCGAGACCGTGCCACTGCACTCCAGCCTGGGTGATGGAGTGAGACTCCATCTAAGAAAACAAAAAACAGAGTTCTCTTTTCTCTGCTTCCTTGCTAACATCTATTATTTTTCTTTTTATTAATAGCCAGACAATGCATTTTAAAATAATAAAAACACATTGCTTAAGAACATGTACAGCTTAAGGTCACTTTTATGCAGCAAACCAACCCATCCATATCATATCTGCTAATGAGTACAAGGAAAAGACTATACGAAGATACAAACTATTTCTAGGGGAGTAGAATTTGAGGGGAGACAAGTGAAGGAGACTATTTCTCTTTCTACAGGTCTGTATATTTTACATTGTCAAAATAAATAAATATTCCTTCTGTAATTTAAATAAACCTAGAAATTAACAATTGAAAATGAATGCCGCTGCCTCATCTGAGCTTCTTGGTTTAAGGGACCCTGGGACAGGGATATCAACTAAAATTATTAACACACCAGTGTGCTAGCAGCAGAGAGTAGACACAGTGACCATGATCAATCTAGTAAACACTTCCAGGCCCACGACTGCTACCTTACAGGCCATTCCCCATGGGAAACCTATGGAGGAACCTAGGTTTAAGAGAGAGAAGTTCAGATGAGGGAGTGGAAAAAACAATATTTGTATCAGATTCCTTAAAACTTTGGCACTTTTGTTAACCTTCTTTGAATAATTTCTCTAATCTGCAATCTGTATCACTACATTATCTGATTTTCTGCTAATTACTATATGCTATCAAGGTCTGTCTTTATATTTTCTTTTTAATTTACAAAACAAGAACTCAGGTTTTTTTTCAAATCCTAGTCAATATCCCGAGATATCTACCAGACACAGCCCAGCTTCCCATCATCCCAGCTGAGCCCAGCACCTGCAGACCTACCCACTGAATGCACCACACGGGCATGTCAGGTGAGGCCAGCAGAACTGGCCAGTCTACACACAGAATCATGAGAAACCACAAATTGTTGCTGTTTTCAACCACTGAGTTTTGGGAAAATTATATGCTGTACAATAGAGAACTAGTTAATACCGTACCCAAGAACTTTTCCTTGGCAACTTCTGAGAGGAGCTGAGACCAATTTCTTGTGATGTTTTCATAGCTTGTGACAATTTGATACATATAACAAATCTTGCATAACTTATTATGGGAATCCAACTAGGACAACCAAAGCCACGGTATAATCAGGATCTAATCAGCCATGCTGGGTGATTTCAAAAGCTGTTTTGATAAGTAATGGAAAGAAATTTGGGAAGTCATTTGTCTGATATACTGTCTTTGGATAAGAACATCTCTAAACTTTTCTGATAGATTGAAAACCTTATGTAAGTCATACTACATCTTAAAAGTAAAGGGTTAGCATTTAAAAATGTTTTTAAAAATATCCACAGGGAAAATGAGAAATAGAAGAACAGTATCAACTATCTAATAAAACCTGTAGAGGAAGATGACAGAATCTGAGATTCAAGAGAGTCTTTGGGGTCACTGACACAGAGCTCACTCTAGTGCAGGAGGCCACCCACAGCACCTTGCAAATGGCTTTTCCTCAGTCTTCCCCGAGGACACTATGTTACAGAGCAGTCTATTGTATATCAAGGAGTGCTAATTTTTGAACAATTCTTTATTATAGTCATCAAATTCTAACTCAATATGACCTCCACCAATAGTTTCTGTGAGTTTAAAACAAATTTACTGTTTCCTCCACATAACATTTGAGATACTGTCTATATATTTCTTTTGAACCAAAATAACTTTCAACCTTGTTTTCTAAAATTTAAAAAATGCTAATGATCTTATCTGAACGTTCTCCCCAAGTACTTTACTTTCAT